CATTTCATCGCAAATACTGAGCAATGTTTTATCATCCAAACAAACTGAAAGGAAATGTACAAATACGGCATGTTCATCAATTGAAACACAGATGAAAACTTGATGACAACAAATACATTCTTACATGCCTATATAATTATTTTACAAAGCTGGGTATATTTGATATTCTGTCAAAGTCACATTTGAGAAATAAAAGAAAAATATTAGTCAGCATTGGACATAATACTGATCCATATTTTCGCAATTTTGTTCTTGGTAAATATGTGTGTATATGTTTATTATTGATTCTATATATTGTTAATATTATTGCTATGTGGGTGAGGCTGAGGTGTTATAAACCCTCAATATGTGAAAGTGCTTCCCTTGTCCCCTAAATTTCAATTCCTAGAAGTCCAGTCATCCCGTACCCTCTCTATTCTCAGACGTCGGGCAAATCCTGGCGCCACCATTAACCTCGATCCCAGCAGGGTTTCCCCCTAGGCACCCTCCCCCTGGAGCCATTTTGGTCCACTTTCTAAAAATTCTCACCCACCCAATAAAAATCCTGCATATGGGCCTGTGATATATGTAACTATTTACAAATTTTCTGCAGAGATAAATAGCAATCAGCTTGTTTTGAATACCTTCACAAAGAACTGAAGATGCTTCCACATTAGGTCGTAGTTGCTTCACAACAGAGGAAAATCCTTCGTGTTCCAACGCTTCACACATCATCTGGAGTTGATTCGTAGAATGAGTCTGCCGCTGTCGCCATTTGGTCAACAGCTCCATGGATGAATAAAAAATATGGCCATGATGCTGTGTTTTTGCTGATGACACATCGGTCCATGTAAGACCAAGACGTACTGCAACTTCCGGATACTTAATGCCAATTCCATTACTAATAAGCATCAGGTCATCATCATGAAGAAACCCTATAGAAAGCAATATGGTTGTTTATAAAATTATAATACAAGGATAGATGGTAATTTATTCATCCTATAATATGGGGAAATTTCATACCTGATTATAACAATGTGAATAAAGTAAAACAAGATGCCTTAGACAATTAACTGATAATGATACAGGTAGTTAAAGTAATAATAAGAAGAATAATAATAATAAGAAGAATAAGAATATGAAGAATAGTGGGTTCTACTATAATTTACTGTAAAAATGAGGCATTTTCGTAAAATAAAACCCTTACAAACGAAAAGATCAGATAAATTTACTTAAGAATTTATAAAATAAATTGTTTTCTTTAGCTGTTAGCGAACATGAGTCTTCGAAAGTTAGTATATTTTAGGAGTTTTCTTATGTTTAACTACGTAATTTTAATAATGCTACCACTTGTATGACAGTTTGCAGTGTTCATTAATCTGCACTACCGTGCTCGAAACACCTTCTTATCAGCAAGGTGTAAACTGAATGTTCTATATATATTTTAATAAAAATTTTAAACCTAGAGCCCCACTTTTATTACTATTTCCCTAGCCTCAACTGCTTTTTTAAAAGTGAAAGTCACAATCACAATCTCTTTGGTTTATTGAAACATTCAATTCTTAAAAAATTATACGACAATTCCATAAATCTGTTTATTTCCTGTATATATCCAGAATCATCATGTCCCTTTATCAACCCAATGAGGGCACTGTTATGAGCAAATTTTATTTCGGGACAAGAAGTTTGATCAATTATCTGTAATCAGCAGTGTAGACTGAACAGATTAAAAGAGCTAAAACTATGCCCTGTTTAAATTATAAACTGAAACGCCTAAACTTAGCCTAACGAACTGACTATACGGTTTACAAGAAAATTATATACAAAAGCAATTAATAAACACGGAAGATCCAAAACAAGCAATTTCTTTATGAAAAAAAATTGCCATTTTTAGTTACATATTAACATAAAAAAAAATACATAAAAAAAAACATTAAGAATATTATTCTATATCAAACATGATCATAAACAATGTTGACATATGTTAAAAACATAATCTTCTTTAAAAATCATTGAATTTAGATTAATGTAATTACCAGAGAAGTTTTCAGGTAGGCAAAAGTCATCTCTCAGTTGCTCAGCAAGTTGAATGTAACCCCGTTGATAAAGCGCTGCCCTCATCACAGATACCTGATTGATATCAGTTGGTTGTCGATTTCTCCATGACACAAACATTGCCATCACTGCATCCTTTTCTTGAACATTATCACTTTCAAATTTCTGTATTTCTGAATGACTTAATCCAAGCTGAACTCCAAGCCTTCTCCAATTGCTATCCATTGCATCACACAATCTGAGTAACTGTTTATCATCCAAAACACTTCCTATGAAGTATAAATTCATTATTAGACGTTCAGTAAAACTTTCAAATAGATAAATAGTACAGTGCTCGAATATCAACATGATGTTATGATATCCTCTATTCCAGTGCTATGGGGTCAGATCTTGGCATTAGTGACCAGATGTGTGCAGCCCTCGAAATTAGCGTCGGCATTTGGCAATGCCGAGGTAATTGCCGACGCTTAGCAAGCTTACCACGGCACCAATTTGCCGAGGCTCCTTTTTATAGGCCTAGCAAGTGGCCTAAAGAAATTTCAGCTTGTATACACACAGAATGTTAACATTTTTCAGTTTATTATTGTGTGTAAACTAAAATTAAACATTTATTTTTATCGTGTAAAGTAACTAATTTAACAATGCCAAGTAAGACGTGCTTACAAACCAGGAATTACCAGTCAAGCCGATATATTCATGCATGCTGTAAACACTATGGCCTAAGCATGTTGTCGTGGCAGGTGGTGGCGAACGACGAGGGCGTGGAAGATTTTTGGTAGATTCCGGCCTGGGTACTCTATACACATGTTTATTTTAAAGCAGCCGTAAAATTAATGATTAATTTATACTATTATTATAATATACCACATGTTTTAATGTTGCTGTTTTTACGAAATAAACTTCAATATATAAATAAATTAAATATTTAGTGGTTGACTTGTTTATTTTGTGTACATGTTTTACCTGTTAACCGAATGGGTAAGGTTGATTTATCAAATGAATTTGAGGCGGCCATAGAAAAGCGCTCAAAATTATCACGTGACACATTTCCATGAAGGGAAAAATGCTTTCTTGGCTTAGGGCAAACCCGTGCTAGATAGTTAAATAGGTAGGTCTAGAACTTGTTAAATTATGACCAAATTAATTTACACTACATTGATCGACGTTAGGCCTAGTCAGGTGAGCTTTTGTTCTGTAGCTGTTGTTTGATGTAGTTTTGATGATAGATAATCCCTTTTAGCTGTAGTTAGGGCATAAGTTAGGGAGACACTAAAAAATGCAAATTGCCGACGTAGGGAGTGCCAAGGCGAGTGCAATTTACATCAGCAATTTTTTGCCAAGGACATATCGTCCCAATTTCGAGGGCTGTGTATGAGAACCACGATGCCGGCACAAAGCATTCTCATCGATTCTTTGCATCACAATTATCTTGAAATCAAAACATTCAATTCATTGCATTGAACTTTTGCCCATGAAACATGCCTATTTCATGGTGCTGTGGTATTTTCTATACACTAATACTGGTAACCTCAGTGTTTCCTGGTTTAAATTACCAACATTTACAGTTTTTCTATAATATGTTGGAGTCATCAGAAACCTACAAATGAGCTTGGCCATTATGTGGCCCTCTATGAACAACATGAAGATGGAATTTGTAGGCTTTCTTTATAATAAACAGCCATAGAAAATCAACACAGAATCCAAATCAAAGGAAATAAGTAACTATAAAGAAATGTCAACATGAACGCAGTGGCTAGAGATACGGTAATGTATATCTACTTCAATTTGCTAAAGGTATGGTAAATGGCATTACGTCACCATCACCAAATGAAGTGCCAGAATGTGCGTGACGTCATTTTTCAAGACTGGCATTGCAGATCACCTGCGATGAGCAGTGAAACGAGAACGATGTACAGTACTGGGAAATTAGGACATCAAGAAGTACAATAT